TCGGGGCAGGACGGGTCTGGCTGGCAGCACGGTACCACTGCAGCTGCAGAACGTGCTGCTGCCCTGCAGCAGGGTGGGCTGGCACCGCCACGGGGCACACAGTGCCCGCACACTGCCACACGTGCCACTCGGCGTCCAGCTTCGGCTGTGTGCCCACCCAGCCTTCCACACCTCCGGGGCTGAAGGCAAAATGTTGTGGGATTCACAAACCCCTCCGGTCCTGTACTTGCTCAGAGCAATTTCCTCCTGGACACGGGCCCTCCTGCCAGGGCTGAGGGAGAGGAGAGAGGGAATGGCCTTGGGGTCATCCAGGGCAGAGTCAGATTGGATGTGAGGAGAAATGTTTTCCCTGTTGTGGTGTTCAGCACTGGGATATTGCCCAGGGAGGTGGTGCAGTCACCATCCCTGGAGGTGTTTCAGAGGTGTCTGATGTGGCACTGGAGGATCTGGTTTTGTTGCTGAGTTGCAGTAATGTACAGGGAATGTAAATTTGTGGGACTTGGGCATCTTTCCAGGGACAGCTCATGTCACTCCAGGCTTGGCTGGTGTGCCTCCAGGACTCCCAGCTGAGACACAGGGTGACAGGTTGAGTGTCTGAACTCAAGGCTGTGCTTAATTGTCTCCAGTGAAGTGAAACTGCTGCATTCAAAACTATTTGGAGAGTTTATCAGGTGTCTATTAATAGCATGGGCAGCATCCTATTGTGTGATGGTGGCACAGCTGGTCCATGGAACTTGCTGCGTGGGATCTTCCTCGTGCAAGAAATCTGTGCCCAGAGCCAAACACTGACAGGGAAGGAGGCAGGACAGGGTCCTCAGAGGTTTCCTTTTCCCCAGCAGGAGGTATTTGGTGGAATGCATTTGGAATGTCAGCTCCCTCTCAACCCCTTGCATTTGCTGCTCGCTCTCACTGCTTCTCTGGGGCTTCAGCATCTCCTCTTCAATTAATTTCATGGACAAAGGGAAGCTCTTCTGTATCGTCCACCAAGCTGAACTTAGCCTGGGGTTCTTGGAAATATTTTTCTCCTTTATTTCTGGCATGTAGATCTCATCCTATCTGAGCACATCTGGTTTAATCCTTTGTATCCTGACTTCTCAAGCACTGGAAAACACGGTCAGACCGTGCAGGGACCTGCTGGGTTCTGTGGCAGTTAAACAGATCTTGGCCCTCTTCACACCCTTCTTGTTCACACCCGTTTTAACTCTGTTCAGAGTACTCAGTGCCATTAATTAGCACCATTTGAGATGAATCAAGTGGGTGGATGGAGATTAATCACCCCCCAGTTTAACAGCCAAGCATCATCCATCAGAGGCTCTCGAGGCAGCACCACTGGACACCCACACTGAGCAAGAGGTGCCTTCAGGCTGGTGCAGGACAGAGTCTGGACATGACCACTGCAGTCCACAGGGACACAAGCACTGACTGGCAGTGCCAAAAGCCATCAGTACTCCCTTCTGGAGCTGCACCCCAACACCACCTCCTCTCGCTGTGAGGTCCACACCCCTCCCTTCCATCACACAGAGATCTCTACAGGGGGACAGAAGGGAGGAGCAGAAATGCTCAGAAGCCAGAGAATAAATAGGCTTCACTGCAAAGGACGCACTACTGTCCTCCAGATAATCCTCTGCTGCCACATCATCTCCTTCCCTGGCATGTGGGGAAAATACACATCCCAAACACCTGATGAGTCCACCTGGGCAGCTCACAAACCTCACTGACAGCACACACCAAACGTGGCAGTGGCCAAGTGCTGCTGTGGGGCACGGAGCCCAAGTGCTGCTCAGACAGATGACCCTCTCCTTGCAGGAGCTTGACTTGGCCCAGGGAGAGGGAAGCTGGGCCTGACTGGCAGGACCAGTCTCCTCCACGGGAAATGGAAAGTCAATTTTTACAGAACAAACGCCTTGTCCTAGTCCTGGAAACTCAAACATAAACAACTCGGGTGAACCGCTTCAGATTTCACCCAAGCACGAACTGCTGCCGTGGGGGTCTGGGCCTTTTTCCCAAGGGAAATCCCTTTCTCTCCCCCAGAAACACTGCCCTCCTCTCAAAGGCACCGAGCCAAACCCCGTTCGTTCTGAGCGCACCAGACACCTCTGCGGGCAGCAGAAGGGAAGGCCCAGGTGCCTTCCAGGCCCTGCCCCAGCCCGGGGTCCCTCCCAGGCCCTGCCCAGTACTCACAGTCCTTGTGGGCAGTGGCCTCGGGCAGTGGCGTGGCCAGGCTGAGGGTGCTGGGCACGCCGGCGCTGTCCAGGCTGCTGCCCAGGTGCAGCCGCCTCATGTGCCGCACCACGGCCGTGGCGTTGAACGCTTGCTGCAGCAGAACCGAGAGAAACACGGGATAAACAGCCTGGGGGCACAAGGGTTGTGTCTGCTCCTCCCCTGCGGCCCGGGGTGACCTGAGCCACGCGCCCCAGGATGGGTAGGCAGGTTGCACCAGATGACCGTGTGGTCTCTTCCCACCTAACTGATTCTGTGATTCCCGTGTCTCTCAAGCTTTTCCCCGTTTCTAGTTTCCCATCTAGAAACAGCACTCCCAAACCATAGGCATCTCTGCCCTGTCCTGCTCCCCACTGTTCTGCCCAGCACTCACTGGGATGCGGCAGCCTGCGGGGAAAAGCACGTTTGACACACCCTTCCCTGCCCCAACACACAGGGTGTCTGCACTGCTCCACTTGCCCCAGGTGCTGACCCCAACTCCCTGCACAGCCTCAGGTGCTCGAGCTATGAGCAGCCCCAGCCCCGACTTTCACTGCGTTCACACACTTGGTGAGTGCCATCCTGCACAAAAGGTCCTGCAGGGTCAGAGGACCTCAGTCTGCAGCAACCAATTTGACCCCAATTTTGAGCCACAAAAGCACTAACACACTGGAAGAGCCAAGTTGGCAGAGCTGTGTGTCCCAGTGTCACCCCCAAGGACAAGTCACTTACTCTCCACTTGCTCTTGGCAAAGTTCTTGCGGATCTGAGCGCTGACTGACTCGTGGATGTTCTTGCTGAGTGCTGTGTCCCCAGCAATCCTGGAATGGACAGAGAAGGTACATGTTAAGAGATCTTTTTCTCTCCTCAAATACTCTTACTTTTTCTCCTCAACAGACAGATGGTTCCAGGTGTGTCTGCAAAAACTGATGCCCAGAAGTTCCACCTGAACACAGGAAGAACTTCTTTGCTGTGCAGTCCCTGAGCACTGAACAGATTGCCCAGAGAGGTGGTGGATTCTCCTCACTGAGGTGTTCCAGACCCCTCTGGACACAACCCTGAGCCATGTGCTCTGGGCTGGCCCTGCTGGAGCAGGAGGTGGGACCAGATGAACACTGTGGTCCCTTCCAGCCTCAGTGATGCTGTGACTCTGTGACTGCACCTGCAGTGATGATGATTCCATTCACTCAAGGGCTCAAACCTCTGTCTCTGCTGGCAGCAGTGGTGGAAAACCTGGGGCACTAGCAGCAAGTGTAGGTAAGGGTCACAGGGCTGGAGAGAGGCATGACCTGACCTGGTTGAGGCACAGCTGCTTCCCACTGCCCCTACAGCCCAAGGGGAAAACATTCTGCCCCTTCTTTTTCTTTACCTCTAGAGATTCAACATCAACAGGCTGAGACTACTTTTAGCCTCAGCCATGCAGAAGCTTCCAGAGCCACTCCAGCCCATCTGATTTCTGCCTGCACTGCAGATTTTCCTGCCACCCTGCAGTGCACATGGTCATTCGTCATGATTAACTCAGACTTAGAGCAAAGCAGACACATGGACACTCACTGAAGCAGCACAGGCTGCACAAACAGCTTAAGCTGAACAACACTCAACCAAAAATGGATTGATCTTGCATAGTTTCTTTAACAGATAAAGATACATCCAATCTCCACTAAATAATTTCAAGGAAGTTTTACTGATTTATTTAACTCCTCAAGGCATGAGATTTGTTGGAGGAACAGGCTGCAAAATGAGCTGATGCTGGGCCGAGCACTGGGGCAATTAGTGCTATCTAACCTGGGGGATAACAGAAGGCAAAGATTCCCCTCTAGGTTGTATGTGATGTTTTCAGAAAACAATTTTTTAGCCACGGTGTAGCAAATGTCCATTACCAATACCAAAAATGATAACCCATTGAATAGTCCATCAGGGACAGAGTATCCCAGTCTGGGAAGCTCCAAAAGTTACCAGAGGGTTTGGGGACTCAGAAGTCATCTAGTCCTTCCCCCCAGCTCTGTCAAAATAGTTTGGACAGATATTTGGCTAACCAGTCCTCAAAGATCTCCAAAAGATGGAGACTCCTCAGGCAACTTATTCCAGTGCCTCACTGTCTCCCAGAAGTCATGGAAAACAGTTTATTCCTTTAGTCTTTGAAGCATCCTTTCACATATTTGAGGACTGTTATCATGACTTCTCTCTGCCTTCTCTAGACTAAACAAACTGATTCTTTCACTGTTTCTTCATAACTCATATTTTCTAATCCTCTGATCTGGTGAGCTTCCCTGGACTTTCTCCAACTAGTCCACATCCTCCTCAGAGGGCAGAGCCCCAGCTGCTGTGTTTCCCAGCTCAGGCAGCAGACTGGCAGCACTGCCCTGTGTTTCTGGAGATGAAGCTCTGCTGACACACCCAACCAGAGTGTGCTATCTGTGTGCCCCGTGACCAGACATCCCTCTCACTGCCCAGGGCAGGCTCCACTGCAGCCCTGCTCTTCAAAACACAGGCTGCTTTTGCTGCCCTCATGCCAGTGGCACATCTAAGAGGTGCTCTCTGAGCCCAGTCGTGTCCAAATCCCTGCCTCTTCCTGCTGGCAACACCACCCAGGGTGTCCGAGAGGTGAGAGGAACTACTCACCCTTGGGAGGAAGGACCAAACCCTTCAGTCCCACCAATCCCACCC